CATAAAGGTATAGAGATGGGTCAGCGTAGATGTTTTGTCGAGATGGGTTGTGACAAGGGAAAAGAAAAAGCTGCAGAAAGATAAAATTCTTATTTAGCAGTGGACAATCTTCCTTAGTTAAAAATAGAACAGAATACCTCAAAAATGCCCAACGATATCTTATTTTACTTAAAAAATAACCCAACAACACTTTATCCCACCAAAATTCCCCAAACACGTAAAAACTCCTCAAATTTGGGGGTAAATTCCCTAATATGGCAGCCCTGTCGCGCAGGCACGGCTTGGTATCAGGTTTTACTCTGGCCAACGTTACCAGACCGACCATTTTTAAGGTAGCTCTACCGTTTTACGGTTGATCTACCATTTGAGGCTTCGTCCCTTTACTATACAAGCTTTAGTTATATACGACATCGTGGACTGCCACTTTATTCAATGAAATGTAGCCAATCGTTGTATTTTTTGTTTATTCATTGAATCAATCATCTTTTAAGCGCCATGCCTACCATTTCAGAATTGTTGATCTGGCAGTACTGGCTTCGGTGGCTCGCGCGTTGCAGGCGAAAGAAGAAAGAATCATTAGTGACGCTACTTCTAGTATTCCGTACACTTTGATCTTTACTTTTTTCGCGTTAACTTTCGGCAGACGCTTTAGGAAATAACTGCGTGATTTATAAATATCAACGACTCGGTTTGTGTATCAGTTCAATTAACTTTGAACTCTTGCTGGATACGATTTGGGCGGTTAACTGTTTTTCGGGTATGAGTGTAGTAAGAGTGATTTAATCGCTAATACTTAGCGTTAGAAGGTTTTTACCTTATAGTAGATTATAATTACGGATCATACGTGTTATATAGTATGTTATCAGGGGTATTACACAGCTGGAGTATCCTAGCGCAACAGTAGTTGCTCAATACACTTCCAAACAGAATATATAACTTGACCCCCATCTCGTAATTTGACTTCAAGCAAATTGTTCCAAATATTACATTTTTCGTGAAAATGAAAGGTTGGAATCAGCTATGAAAAAAAGATACTCTGTTTCAAATGCACTGGAATGCAGCAGCTAGTTGTTTTCCATTTTTCTTTGTTATTATTTTCCAAAATAAGCATATTACAATAAATTATATTATAGAGCATCTAAACGAGCAATATCTTTATTGCGATATTTTGTTATAACTATCGCAAGTATAACCAAGCCATCATGAAAATTTTGCACCATATGGCTGAAAAAATTGTATGTTTGTCGCAGTCTTCATTATAATATACTAAGAAGGATTACGATCGCTCGGCTATCTCACAGCAACATATGTTAGACATGTCTAGCTTATGTAACCGTCACAGGTATTACCTATCTGGAAAGGTCACATTTTGTCGGTTGTAACTGTACGTGTTGCCTAAACGTCATGATGTTCCAGCTATCAATGTTTGGCTCTGATGTGACACAACATCGGCTTCAGAGATAGCTTTATTGGAGGTCTAAGCTGTAAGTTGCATACTATAGCTGAAAGGAAACAGCAGTGCATTCAAAGCAGGAAATTAGTTGCGCATTCACTTTTTCTTATCCATTCCGGAAGTTACATATGCAAGTTTGCTGAATTTCAAAACTGTGAGAGGTAATAAAAGAAAATCCCTGGATGGTGAAGTATATTACAAGTAACAGGTGAGAAAATATGCTGCGGTAGGAATAATTATGCAACGTAAAAAAGATATATTGGCCAACCTCCCTCCATAAAAGACAACATATAAGTATCCCGTCGGATGAAGCTAATATAGATATATTTCATTGGCAGCATATTCAGTAAAACATTTTCTCACATAGCAAATGTCACTGATTTTATACACATGCAGACCAATAAACATAATCATCCAGATGCGATCTTGCTACTCCTCCAACTTTTTTTCTTTCACATCTTCTCAGAGATAAACACTACAGATTACTCGGCTTTCTGCAATCAACAAGCAACCATCAATGCATGTTCTGTTGTTGAGTCAGTCCTCCATAGATGGACGCTTTTGATGGCGCTCAAAGCGATCATGGCGAGCAAACGTGGACAATAAAAACTGCTTAGTCTGCAAGACGACATTTTGTCGGTTTTTTTGTTGGCATTTTTAGGCTTTTTACATAATATCCCTACGGCACGGCATTACGTATCTTGAAAACTGACATTAGGTCGATTTCTTTGACATATCGTATTTTTTTTTATATAACGCTGGGTTTTCTACAAGACGTTAACTTAGCACAAGCTGTTGAACACTTGTTGTGACCTCCATTTGTCGGTGTACGTGTTGCTTAAAAGTGAGCGAACAGCGATCATAATGAGCAAATCTGGATAAACTATATGCATCCTACGAACTACCTAGTCTGCAAGATGACACTTCTTTGGTTTTTTTGACGATTTTACGTTTTTTACATAATCCCCGTGCTGGCCACACTAAAAATTGTCATATGTTGCTGGCTATTCCATTGCAGTAAAGTATTTCTTGTTTAGAAGAGTAATTGTACAAAGTAGTTATAGATTTTAATTACAGAAAAACGGCTTCAAATAAGAAACAAAAAGTCGAGAATGACTAGTCACTGAAAGCATTGTTTATATTCTCCAAAAATCCAAAGTCGCAGACTAGAAACATTGCAAGTAACTGCCAAATATGGATCGTTTTCCAATTCCCTATAAGCTCTTCAAAATCGAACAGATTTCAGCGAAACTGAGATTCTATAGTCATCGAGGAGGAAAACATGGAGTTGCTTCCAAACTTCAAAAATATTATACATAAAAAATATGTTTATGTGTATTCAGACTATGCACTTACAAAAGGTATTTTTTTCGAAACCGTTAAGATTGTCCATTTTGTGTTTGTATGAAATGTACAGCAGGAATTGTACAGCTTGAACTATGATCGATAATTGTAAACATTGGATATAAGCATAATATATTATTTCCTGAATTTAATGCCATCAGAGTAATTTTTAAATAGCGTTTGCGCATATCTTGCATTGAGAAACTTCATCCGACCATCAAATAATATTGCTACATCTCGCGCGTGCTGAATCTATGAGATGCGTAAGCGTTTTGTTATAAAAACATTTGTTTCTGCAAGATCATGCGCGATATTGTTATCGTGTGTTGGATTAAATTTTCATAACAAAAGAATGTAAACAAAAGCTCGGAATGAAGATTAAGCTCAACAAAAAATGTACATATATGTATCCGAATGAATGAACTTTTGCTGCTGTTTCGTCTTCATTAAAATGCGAAGTTGATTCTGCCCTGATTAGCACAACTGAGAAATATAGAGGCCTATCTTAAGGAGCAGTGTCAAGTCGATAACATTTATAAGCTGATCGCATACTTACATAAGGACCCCTTATTGCATCGCCGCCTTAAGGCTGGCATAAGCACCTAGGCTACTTATAAGTTTTACTGCAGTTAGTTCATCATGCAAGATGTAGTGTTTGTGGTATAGGACATGATGTAGTCATCACGCACATTGGTGCACGCGCAAAAATCAATTCTCTGTAGATTTTATCCATGCCAACCAATTGATGGAACGCAAACGAAATTTTTACTATCACACACACCAATCTTGCATGGCGACTTAAGACTGTACAAGTAAAACGTACAAGTTGCATGAGTATGTATGACAGTGTGTATTTACCTCGAATTCAATTTTATCAACATACTCCTGGTTGAGAGAGATGACCCGCTGAAAGTTACAGTACGATTTCTATCTACTTCAAGTTCAAGCATCTGTATCCTACATTAACTGGAAGACAATTTGCTTCATTTATTGAAGATTCAATGACTTTGTAATAAAAGCATCAGTCCTTCATTACTATTATATCTATTTTCGTCAGTTTTGTGAGTACAAGTATTCCATTATTGTTACTTACCTTTGCTTGAATACTTATTACGTGGGACTTATAAGGCACTCAAAAAAGTGGTTGCAGCATTTCCTATTAGACGGTATAGTTTTACAATTTTCTTGCAAATTTCGAGAATTCGAAGGGATTATTCACCTAAGATCTGTGTTTCCCCATGTTTTCAATATTTCTGAATAAATTAACGGCCAGTAAGCTGCTTTGAAACCAAGTAGTGGGAACTTACTCAAAGCCTACCATAACACCGTATCAATAACACCCAGCGCACTGGATATAGCTAAAAACTCACACAACGATAACCAGCACTCCAACCACTTAGTAGTGATTTTAAAACGATTTTCAAAAAACACTATGCGCGAGACAAACAGGAATACCATATTTTTACCAGCACATCAAAGGCAAGTGCAAATGACGTCATATTCGCTGAGCGACTCGAAACGCTTTGTCTTTTGAAGAATGAGAATACCGGCCCTGGTGATGTTAAAACATTTCCTAAATGTTCTAGGTGAAACTGCTAAATCACTGGTCCAACGACGATTTCTCATTTATTTGTATTAGACTAACATACTCATCCCAAAAAAGTTGAATACATATTTTGTAGGAAAGTTCCTCTAGTAACAGCTAAAACTTAACATGTGGTTTTCATACTGGTAGAATGCGATTATTTGCTGTCCAAGTAAAACAACTTTGTCCACAAAACCATGGAGGTCCTGTGGTTTAACTAGTCAGATAGCTATTTGAAGATTAGGAGCGAGGGTATTATGTAAAAACTTATTTGGCCCCATTTTTCCAATCTGGCAGCGCAAGCGGCAAAGATCCTGAGTAGCAGTAGCGAAATTCGGAAAAGCCTTAAACTTCCACAAAAATTTCCAGATAAAACCATTAAATAATGCGACTGTAGAGTCTAACTTCGCTTGAACATGTCAGACAAACATCAGTACGCGAAGTTCAAACTCGCGCGCTCGTATTGGACAACGAGCTATAAACTTTGACGCGGAATGAGGTTTGAATAGCCTACAGAATTAAAGCAAAAAATAAGAAATGCTGTAAGCTATACAACACGTATGATCAGTTTTGAATTTCTTTCCTTTAAGTTCTGAGATAGTTTGTTTTTATCCCCAGACAGAAGTGCAGCAGTCGTGCTTAGCATAGCAATCTTCCTGGCCAGCTTCACGCCCTCCCTCAACGCTCGTGTTGACCCTGACGAGACGTGGTGGTTGAATCCTTGCAGCAAGCAGACGCAGTACAGGTATGGGAGAAGTGCGGCTGAAAATCAGCTGCGCACCTTCATCGACAGGATCGACACCAGGTTCTTCAAAGAGCTCAGGGAGCTATACGAACAGGTATGTGCGAAGTTTGTGGAATAAGGAATCTTTACGATTCTTCATAAGTAATGGTTGTACGTCCTCTGAATGATACTGTGGACTTCAAGATTATCGTTTGGGATTCTTAAAATTGAGTAATTCCACGGTAAGCTTTACCAGAGGTACTTACTGATTTCCAAAAAGAGTGCTTTATAAAAAGACAAGTCTATCGTTTTTTTTTTTTAGATGGATGATGCTTTTTTCCTAGCTAATACAATCTCGCCCCTTGAGCTTTCGTTCTTCTGGTAGGAACTTTGAGCCCTTGATTTGCTAAGAGCATTGAGATTGGTTTAGATTTTATGAGAGAAACAAAGTAAAAGTCTTGTATTCATTCATAGTAAAGTGTGTATGATACTATTTTCAAGTAACGAGCCCAACACTTACGGTATCTCAAATGTGTTTATAACTTTTTTGATTCACTTGTATTACTCCGTATCCATTATCCTCTATCAGATACGATACCCTATAATGTTTCTCTCTCCGCACAAATCGTCAAGCAGGTTCACCATATTTTGCACTTTTTCAAAGTATGGTGGCTGCTACTTGAATATGACCAATCAATAATAATATCAACTGTTTGATCTTATGTTATCTTAGATTATGAGCAAACATCATTGGTAGTGGTTTTAAAAAGATCTCATCTTGTATCTTCAAAATAATTTTTCTCCTTAGAACCACCTAAAGAATTGTATTAAGCTGTGTTGAAGGACAAGGCAAAGATAACCGAAACGTTTTTAAAGCTTAATTTGTTAAGTAATTCTATAAACCGTTGTAAACTCAATTGTTGTATAGACAACTTCATCCGAATGAACTTTTCATAGCCTCTAGACCCAAAAACAAAAGAAAATCGAACACTGAATGTCATTGATGACAACTACCTGAATGAACATCATTAATGAACGTCAATTCCCGCGAACAGATGATCTCATTCATACCTCAGAGTGTATATAAGCGCAAAAATTATCATAAGTCCATCCATCTTCCCGACTTCTTTGACCAAGTGCATATCTTAATCTGGCACAACATATTTCGGTGGGGTTTAACTTTCAGTTTGACAGCGTAATTATGTTAACCTTACAAAATTGTTATCGACCGATAAAAGAGATGATCGATGAGGATTTGGGACTCTCCGCAATTATAGATTCGAACCCAGCGGCTCAAATTTTCATTGAGGAACTCGCATTCGTTCCAGAGGCGGAACTCGCGCTTTTAGCAACATCCAAAGATCGTGACAAGTGGCGCTGTCGATTGGCGGAGTACATGTTAGGTCTCCACTGTCTGCTTACCCAGGTACAGTAGAGACGGCATGTTCACATTACTTGATCTAAACCATGCTTATAGTAAATATGGACCACTGCTTCTCATGTAAAGGGATACAAATATGAACTGTACGCTACTGGACAGCTAACTTTGGTGCATAGTGATGGAAATAAGCCTAAACTGATGCGTGTAGCTGGGATGCTGTGACGGATGGTCACATCTAGATTCTAAACCGACCCACATTTTGGAATCATTAGCTCCAATCATGCAGAATGGAGTTAGTTTTATATGGACCATACTTTTCATATCAATATAATTATGTGGTGAATCCTTACCCTGTTGAGCTATTGTAAGAGATTCAGGTGTGTCGGATTTGACTCAAACCTAAGATTCAAGCTTCATATTAACAAATGTAGGTCTGTGCATCAGTGAAAGTTCTATATACTCATCGATATGTCCTTCCTGTTCAACTTAAAATATCGCTTTGTGAAGCACTGGTACTTTAAGCCATTTCAATTTTCGTAGGGTTTGTTAACTTGAACGGAGGCACTGGTAAGTTCACTCATTCATAAGGGATCACCCTATTGGTCTTCCCTTTGATGCCCAAGGGCGGGCGAGAATCCAGATTGACGTGCTGTTCATATTCAGTCAGTTTTCTATATCAACTATGACCATCTTAACACCAAGGCCCCTGCTCTTGTTACAAATGTACCACGGAGCATTGGTAACACAAGGTAGAACTTTGTTGTTGTTCCGATGATCTCTACATTGTTGTCACTGGCGTGCCACTAAAGCTGTAGCCTGTAGGTTAGATTGGCTTAAGTATTTGGTTCACAAAGAAATTCACTTTTACGACGTATGTAGCGACCTTTAAATGGACGACCGACCACTTGTTGCGCTTCTGGACCTTTGTAAGGTGCGTGCACCACCGCCATTTGTCATAAGGTGGGCGCGGGGCCCGACGCGCAGATTTTGACTGTGCCATCGCACGGCGAGTATTTGCTAATTTGTTTTCGACAGCCTGCGTGGTGTTTTGACAAAAGAATAGCATATTATCATAATTCCTGCTGCACTCCGTTAAATTATTGCCGAATAAATAATTAAATGATTACTGTTTGTTCTCCTTTAGCCTGCTCACCACAAGCAGATGAGGGGGAGCTGCATCAGGGTCAACAACATGTTGCAGTCCATCAGGAAGACGAAGAACGAAACTGAGGTATGTTAGTCACTTTCCTTAAATTTAATATTGTTCATATTGCAATGAGTTACTTTTCGTTAACATACTGGCGTGAAATGTTGACTGAAATGTAGTAGTACATGTATTTGATGATGCCTATATATGAGGCAATTTTAATTGAAATTTAAAACTGATAGTTTTCTTTTGATCTAACAAATGATGATAACACAATATTTTCAACATTACCAGGCCGCAGTTAACTACACGTGACATTGATTTTACCATATAGATCATGCCTATTGTCCTTTTTGTCCACCGTGATCTATTTAATCTAAGCACTTCCCTCTAGGTGGTTAGAAAAATAACGATAACACATCCTCGCCAGACACATTTGTTTGGCACAATAAAATTACCTTAACGTGAAATGTTATTATTAGGTATTTATATAGAAGGTCACTTTTTCCACTAAAATCCATATTATCATAGTTCACTTCATAAAGATCATTCCATTAAAAATTTTCACAAGGAAGTACAGCAATGACATTATCCACAAAAATCTTGCAAATACAGACATTATAAATGTACCTGCAACAGTCAAACACGATATATATTAGCATTAAACGAAATTGTTTTTTAATAGTATGCTCAGCCTTCATTCATCATGACACTAGTTTCTCCGCGTAGATGGTGGTGCTTTTTTTATAGTGCAGGAAACAAAGTGCAGAGTCGACCTATACTTTTAACTGAATTCCAATTCTCTTATTGATGAAATTAGTCTTTAAAGTTCAAAATGTATACTATATTCTAACCTCAAAAATCAGATCAGTAGAGCTTATGTGATCCGACGAAAAATCTTACAGACCCTGAACCCTATTGATTAACTTATCCTCTAACAAGATACCTAACCATATTCTGTATTTGGACGTTGACACACATTTTTTATCGACACCATCGATGTTGCCAAGTACGATGTTAGTAGTTTACTTAAAAGTAAAAAAAAAGAGTTCGTTTTCCTTTTAAAGAAAATTGTTTATTGTAAATGGCATCAGCCATTAAAAAAAGATCACTCCTCAACCGCCCTCAAAATACTCGCAGTGGCTAAATTTCGTCCTAGTAGATCCGGAATTATTATATTATTATTATTATTACTATCACTATCACTAGAGATGAACAATCGAAAATCCAAGACCTACAAGTTTTAAGTAATTGATAAAACATGCAAAAATTTCACCACAGCTTCAACAACGCACATACCGTATTTCCAAAATTGAAAACATTACCAACATTAACAAGGTTGTGCTTAACAAAATAGAGTCTTTAGTTAATATTTTAATTTTGAGGTTATATTACTTAGAGTACCTCAAAATTGAGTCAAACTGGACTTACGACTATTTACTTCTCAGCTACTGATATATATATATATATATATATATATATATATATATATATATATATATATATATATATATTAGTAGTAGTCATTGCCATTGCCAACGACCAGTTGGGCAAAAAATACAATTAATTGTTGATTAGGAAATTGGCAAACTTTGTAGGCTTTAGTAAACTCTTTTAACGGTAATCTCGAGCTCTTGGCATTCTCTATGGAGCCTTCTTCAGGAATCGTCGCTGAGGCTGCAGCCAAATGGTGTTTCAAAACGAAAGCGTGGATGAGAGCACGTGTTGCAATTGTAAAACCAAAAAGACGGACACATTGGGTTTGTTGTTAAACACAGAAATCATAGTTAGGTGTTTCCACTATATATCAATGCACCCGAACAAATCAAAAATTATCAAACTCACACACACACATATATATATATATATATATATATATATATATATATATATATATATATATATATATATATATATTGAAGAACTTCTCTACAAAACGCATTAGAGTCTCCTAGATAACATATACATGTACCTTGCAAGCCTACCAGCATTAAAGATTGTATAACAATAAGTATTTATTCACAGTATTGCACTTCAAGTAAAACAAAACATCAACGTCAAATTAAGACAATCACGTTAAGAAATGCGGGAAATGCAGGATGCAAACCTCTTATTTATATACTCTTACTCATTTTGGTCGGATTAGCGACTGAGCGCTACCGCCACAGACACATGTCAAATTCCGTTTGGGCTGTAGGCCGTGAAATAGATATTTCAGTTAGTTACCGGGATCAAAGGTAGTCCTTGTGCTATTCTAGATTATAATCTACCTCTATTCATCTGTTAAGCCATTTTGGCGTGATTAACTAATAAACAGCAACATTTTCTTATTTATAATAAGGGATGAATAAGTGGTTAGTTGCGCCACGGTACAGATGCTTATTTTCGCGAAGAAATAGCATTCAATTAGTGTGGGTATCTTCTGGTGGAATATTTTGATTAATGAAATGACAAACATCATGGCGGGTGTTTTACAGCGCTCGATTCTTGTTCACACATTGTTTTTATCGCGCCGTAGTGATCTTCTGACGATAAAACAGATTCAGTTTTGCGAATGCCGCGAGCTTGGCAGTCTCAAGCCTGTACCACACCGATAAGCGATCAATAAAATTTTACGCCTTTCCTACTATGACTTCATTTGTCTCATATTACTAATAATAATTTCCTGGGCTATTTCCCAACATTTCTCAACCATCTAATAGTATTTAAATGGTTATATTATAATCAATTACGTTCGACAAATCGCTATTATTATGCCATATCGTTTGAATGAATGCTAAAGCCCGTAAAAGGCAGAGTTCGTTATTTGATTAGGTGTGTTTGAATCTTGCTAAAGGTAATGTTGCATTTCTATGCAACATGCTTGTGTGGGCAATGTGCCTATGTAAAATTTAGAATTCGTCAGTGTGAACTCCCACTTTCCATTGTACATGCGAAAAAGTGTATTGTACGATATATCAAAAGTCATTCTTCTTGTAATGGGACTCTTGCAAAAAGTTGATCGAGGTATTGCGTATACTGGGCTTGTACTATTTGCGATAGATCTAGGCGCACTGAAATGCAGTTAATCAAAATTACCTCACAACTGTCCAGGTAAAAGCGCAATATTGAGGTACATATGCCCTTCCGCATCGCACATTACTAATGTACAGGGTGGTCGATCTGTAACTGACCTGTTTGTATCTTCAATAATTGTGAAATGAAATAAAATTCGTCCATTTTTTTTTCATATTTATCTTTTATTGAAAGTCAGAAATTATGTATGAAAAACGATGTCAGACAAATGTCTGCCTCTAGAAGCCGCTCAAACCTGAGCCTTCTTGATTACATTTTCCATCACTTTTTGGTAGATTTCAGGAGGAATATTTTCAATCTCTTCCCTAATATTGTTCTTCAGCTGCTGTACAGTATTTGGTTTGTGGGCAGAAACCCTATTTTTCAAAAATCTCCATAAAAATAGTCAGGAGTCGTTAGATCCGGTGACCGTGGTGGCCAGTTGACATCACCAAATCGAGAAATTAAACGTCCCAGAAATATTGTTCGCAAAAGATTCATTGTTTCCCCGAGCTATGTGACAAGTTCGATTTGAGGGATCAGAAAGTTTTGCACCAGATCACGGTAGCGTTCGCCAGTGACAAAAAGAATTACCTGCAGCGTCTTCAAAGAAGTAAGGTCCAATGACACCTCCATACCAAACGCCGCACCAAACTGTGACTCGACGAGGATATAGTGATGGTTGATGGATGACACGAGGGTTCTCTAATGCCCATATGCGAAAATTCTGCTCATTAATAAATTCTTTCATGTCGAAGTGGGCTTCATCGCTCATTATCAATTGTCGGTAAGAATCATTATTTTGGGTATTAAGTTGCAATATTGCATGACTGTATTGTCGGCGTCTTTTATTGTCAGTAGGCTGTAGTTCTTGGGTTAACTGAATATTGTATGACCGCAAGTGCAAGTCTTTTTTTAAAATAGTGCATAATGACGTGCGACGAATACCCAGTTCTTGAGAACGGTGTCTGGTAGACGTTTCAGGGCACTCCACTACACTTTTACGAACTCACTCGATATTTTCCGGAGTACGAAAAGTTCGAACACGGTCCGATCCTGGCAAGTCTTTAACTTCACCTGTTTGTTCAAATTTCCGCAACAACTGACGAATGGTGTTGACACTGGGCACACTATTTCGATCGTAACCTTGTCGTAGCTTTCGAATCGTTGCAACAATCGACTCATTATTTTAGTAAAACGTTTTAACAATACGGACGCGTTGTGGGATCGTGTTGCACTGTATGATGAATTGGACACATGTGCTTTAAACAACTACTACGGCGCCACCTACTGAAATGCGTGTATAAAAAATGGCGCGCAATTTAAATCAACCAGTTATATATTGCCCACCCTGTATAATTATTAGGGATAAAAAGATTTGCTCTCACTTAATTCAAACTGCTTTTTGCCGTCCACAGAATCCTTCATCATTTTCGGCAACTGTATGGAATCCTCGCAATGACATATGTTTTTGCATAAAACAACAAATTTAATGTGAAATGTCAACAACTGTCAAACTGGAGGCTTGAGCATGATCGACTGGTATGCACTTCCGTCCTCACTACTGACTACGTTATTTTGGCGACAAACAAAATCGTGAGCTTTCTCCTTTTACGTAGTCCGAATTCGTTGCGCCAAAACAAGGGCGGCTCGCTCATATATCGCTGTACTATTGTTGTAAGCTATTAATGCAGCTCAAACCCATGAACAAAGAAACCGACTGGCGAATTTCAAAGACTTTCCATGCAGAGTGTCCTCTCTTGGTATAACTATACTTTGGTTATTCCCTGCACTGTTCTTCTGAGAATATTATCAGGGTTAAGGGGTTGTATTGGCCAGTTATAAAAAGCGTTCAAAATTACAGGAAAGCAAGAATAGATAGTTTTTTAAGTTTCAGTACATCAGGAAAAGGGCTCCATTGACTGTGCTGACCCAGACGCACACTTCCGCTCGAGCCCATGTGCTTAAATCTTAAGATGACGATGCAGATAACGCGTCGCTTAAACAGGATGGTGTCACATGCCATAAATTCAATGACACAATTCTATAGCTACATGAGGCACTTAATCGTCACGTGATCTGTCTTTTAGCTAATTACAATTGGCCCACCGACTCAAATGATTCAAAACCATTGTTTTTATTTTTAAGGGGTCGAAGGTGTACGCCCGTACATTGAAAACGGACACTCGGACACGTCTTCGCCAAATAGCCAACAAAAATTTCGCCAACAGATCAACATGGCTATTATTTGAAAAACATAAAATTTAAAAAAATACAATAAAATGGCATCTTGCAGAATAGGTAGTTTTTAGGATGCAAATATTTCATTCCACGTTGGCTTGCTATGATCGCTGAGAGTATCCATCTATGAAGGATTTTTGGTTGCAGAGAGCAAGTATATGTTTTGTGAAGCCGACTATTCTGTAGAGAAAATGTGAAAGAAAGAAAGTTGGTTGAAAAGCAAAATCGCATCTGGATGATTATGTGTATTGGTATGCATCGGTATAAAATCAATGATAATTGCTATGTGAGGAAATTATTACTGAATCTGTTGCCAATGAAGTATATCTATCAGTTGTGCCCGACGGGTTATTTATATGTTGTCCTTTCTGAAGTCAGGCTATGCTTAAAGTTATAAATTACGATTTTTACCGTTTCTTGTCTTATCAAAAACATTGAGGAGCATTACGGAAATCGCCACCGCGTCCACGTTGTGTGCAATCAAGCCATGTTACAGAAAAATTAGGAATTACGCACCACACATGAAACATTTTCGCAATGCCTCACATCTAGGCTCTGATTTGTGCTTTCTGTTGACATCACAAAATAAATTTCTATAAGATTTAAATGACTGGAAATAAAAAATAATGTAATAAAATTTTTACTTTCACAAATATTCCTGTCTTTAGCATATTTTCTCACCTGTTCCCTTACAAACCAGGCGCTTCCTTTACTTATCTCTATCATTTTTAAAATTCAGCAAATCTGCATATGTAATCTCTAGAAAATCGATGCGCAACTAATTTCTAGCTTTGAATCTCAAGTAAATGTATTTGAGACAAGAAACCAATGGAATTATCATCAACACATATTATTAGAACACAAATCCTCACTATGCACCTATACACTGCCGTTTCCTACTAGCTATAGTATACAACTTACAGCTTCGCCCTCCAATAATGCGATGTCTGAAGCAGATTTTACATCACATCAGAGCCACACATTGATAACTGAAGCATCATGACGCTTAAGGAAACACGTACAACTACAAAACGAGTTCACAACAAGTGTCCATCAGCTAATGCTAAGTTAACATCTTGTAAAAAAACCTTCATACCGTCACAAAAAAACAATATTATGTCAAAAAAATCGACATATTGTCTCTTTTCAAGATACGTAATACCCGTGCGGGGACGTGCCAGAAAAGATGAGGATGCCATTTGCCTGATGTACTGCTCCATATGTAACCCCGTTCCGTGTGTCCTCCTTTACCAGCAATTGTTTTGATGAAACGCAACATGCAATAATAGATTCAGAATCTCTAATTTTACGATCGACATCAACACTGAACGAACCGTTTGAAGGGATTCTTTCATACTGTTTAATAGCTCGAGTAGGAGGCGCATGTCTCCTACGTTTCTTTAATGGCTCCGTATTAAAGGTGTTTCATATGTCATGATCTATTTGGCAGCGTTGTCATTGTCGCAGTCATATTTTGATGGTCTGTTACAGTAGGTAGTCCAAGATCGTAATACTCGTGCGTTGCGGTCGAGTTTTATCTCGGCCCTAACAAGACTCTGCTGAAATACCTCTTTATTTCACTCACTCTGTTATTGTCCACAGGCGAAAGAGCTGTTTTACGACTCGATGGTCCAGTTCGCAGTCTTCATTGACCGATTGAAAAGGGTTCCTCTACAGACAGACGCCAACTTTCAGATAGGAAGACGCAGGCGGCTCTACGAGGAAACCAAATCCAACCTCAAGTTACTCTTGTGCGAGTACAATGACACCTTAGCCAAAGGTCGTGAGATCTATCTGCCTTCTAGAAAGCCACGGGTGCCTCGGATCAACCTTAGGTGAGTTATTAGTTAAGCATAAAACAAACTTTGTCAAAGCTGAGTCCTAAAGGTAATAAAAGAGTTAAACAGGACTTCCAAACATCTAGTCAGGAATCTAGCGTTGAGAAGGTATGGCTCCACAGTCCCGAATAATCTTTCTTCATCAACTACGTTTACAGATAGTGAGTCCCCTATTTTCAAAAGCGGTTCAGTCCGCATTTACGAAAACTGCAGTTATCTCATAGTCAAAACTTGTAGTAATATACTGAAATACATATCTGTTTCCAAATTGCGACAAAATCCATAGAAATCAGGTTGCTATTTCAGACTGATTTTCAAATTCAGCTAAGGCTGATACGTGTTTCATTACAAAAGTGACTAGGTCCTTAGTTTTACCAAACCGGTTAAATCAAATATCACTCCAACTATCGTGCTCTTGTTCATGAACAAAATCGGCTGAATCCCGTCAACGTGTGTTTACCAGGGCAGCGGAAGAAAAAAAGGATGAATTCGAATTGGTATACTATAAGAGTGTAGTAGATAATCTACAAACTTTAATACAAGCAGAAGAAAATGCCGAAGAATGGTGTGTGCTTTGATAATACTGAGTAAATATTCGTTTTTAACACAAAGGAATTCTTACTCTTCAAGTTGAGTTTTAAGTAGATGTATTCGAAATAGTTAACAAGAAAGAATGTATGTTTTTCTGTTGTATACCTTTTTGTTATATTAGTTAAAACATCAGAGAATAATTCGCACAATTTTCGTTTCCTTACCGGGTAAATCCTGAGTTGACATTCAGGCTTGGGTAGATCCATCTCAACCCCCCCCCCCCCTTCCCATACTGGTACATGAGTCAAAAAATATGTTAAATTTTATAGAATTCCTTTATTGTTCTACATACATTAGTATTACGATTTTACTGATTTATAAGTCACATACAGTAAGGGTTGCAGTTTTTCGCATTTTTCTTAATTCAATCAATTTTGGATTTAGCCACTTTTGGAAATAGGGGATTCTAGTATAAAATACGTCAACTAACTCTATTTATCTGCATAGAACAGAATGTATTCGCAAAGTATTTGAATTAATCCCTGATTACCAATCTGCCATTTGCGTAGGCGACTTTTTTATAGCCTAGGCAAAATATATTAATTCTCCACCATGCCCACATGGGGACGAGTTATTTAGTTTTACATCGTTGCCGTCAAAATAATTACTAGGAACTGTCTATTAGTTCTATGCTTTGATGATTATCTAAAGCTGTATCTGAAAATGACCCTGTTATAAATGTGTCGGTATGACAAAGAGGCAGAAAAAATTAAACAATATCTGGATGTCAATCTCTAATAAAGATTCTTATTTCAGGTGTCTACCAAAGGTGATGAACCATACAGAAGCACTGAATGTTGACGTCAGCTTCTTCAGGAAGCTAAAAAAGTTCTTCAGGCAAAGTCGCGCGATAATGAAGAGAAAGAGACAGACTAGAGCAAAAAAACGGGATCCAAAGCGGCACAAAAATGTGAATGTGGTGCAATAAGGAGAAACTTGTAGGGTCAGTTTTTCAATGATGATAAATCTGTCTACCAAGAGGAAACCTGAAAAATGCATCATGTATGATGTATTTTTACATTCAACCATCATTGACAAGAACTGGCCGTTAGTCAAACTCATACAAGGCTGTGATATTAGCTGTAGGATATTATGTGCTAACTTATTTATTTATTATTTATTTTTACGTGACTTGATCAGGTTGTAAATAATAAGGTAGATATTTAGATTAGTGCAATCTTGCCTGAAGCGAGATTTAGTAGAGGTCGATTTTTAGCCGAAATCAAAGACTAGAGAAACGAAGTACATATATCTGGAAAATTTTACTTCGACTGATTGCCCATACAGACGTAGAAATATTTTCTTAGTTGTAAGAGCGTTATAGTTCAGTTATGAGTGTGCTCAATGAAATTAGCAATATTTGCACTTTTCGACTTGTCAAGTTTGTGGGGGCTATCATGTAGAGCAAGACAATGGAAGATATCATGATACACCCAACCTTAGAATATATCGATTTGGCAAAAAATGATGCGTGCATAAGCTAACATCAAAACATACGTTAAAAGCTGTCAAAAATTTGGGAACATTCCGCAGGAATCATTATATTCTACTAGTCTCCAGAATTGCTCTCTGGTACACTCATCTCTCTCTCTCAGCCATCACACAATTATGAAATCAAATAAGATCCTGCAGATGTATGTACGCGAATTACACTAAAATTACGTAGTAACTTCTGACAAATCATCCTCTACCAACATTGCCAACATTTCTTGCAGAAAAAAACACGATCCTGCCTAACGGGACGATGATCGACAAAGACTTCAAATGCCTCACAAAGCATACAATATATTTTTATGGCCAGTGTTTGTTATTACTGTTTGTTCTTTCCTCTTCATAGTTTTTACATGTCGCTAAGAAACTGTAAACTGCCTACCTCTTTTGTGTGAAAAACTCTTTAACGTCAGTATTTAAAGCTCTCTGGAATCCGAGATTTTGCAGTTGCTCGGGTTGCTAGATGATGGTACTAATTTTCAATTGCCAGCAATTATTTGCAATTTTCATTTGTTTTTATATGCGAATGTAGTTGGCCAAAGCGCGGGAATGTCTCTCGGAGCGGTCAATGAGCCACTCTTTTAATCGTTATATGAACTATTAGTACGGGTCGTAGGAACAAAAATTATGTCACTTTTTGTAATTTTGCGAAGTCAGCGAAATTTTTCTCAAATATCCAATATGCCCTATGCGAGCCTCTGCAGTGTTTAGATCTCCGAACCTATTAAAAGGGTATAATATTGAAATGATAGTGGTGATAGGCATTTCTATGGTCAACTTTTATCTTTCACCAAAGGGTTGCAATGTTCTCAGTTTTTATGATTGTTCAGTTACGAGTATACCAGAATAACCACCAGAACCTTTTCATTTTCAAAATTAATGTTTGAAATGGATCCTCTTAAATTAAATTGTTTGCCCAGAACCGCAATTAATTGTTGAAAAGTAATGTTATTTATAAAATTATGTTTAACTTCAAAACTTGAAGGAATCCAGAAACTTCATGCAAGACCCATACCATACAATCCATCGCCTGTACAGTTTGTATTATTATATCGCTGGTGAACACCGTGCTTCGCCACCGACCTGTATTATATTTTGTGATATATTTTGTAGGATCTATGTATTTATTAGCATTTATTTTGTATCATGTATAGAACGCTTGATGTCGCTGGGAATATAAATATCATATTTCACAGTAAGCGAAAATTCTGAGTGTTAGATATTTTTGGATATACCATATTCCAAATTGGCACTGCTTAACGCCTTATTTTGTGCGTAGCTGAAACACCCCACACATCTGACACATATTATGTTTTTACCTGAATAAAACAGTATTTTTTGTATCACGATTTTACCCATTTCATTTAAGATTCCATCACATTAGCGAACTTGTAATGAGGCTGACATTTTGTGTTTTATACAATTTTCCTATTTATTTTCATCCTGCACCTACTTAGCATTATCTTATTTAATTTTGTGTCGAATCTGAGATGCGTTTGCCACCATTCTTATGATCCTCGTTCTTATTTATTTTATTTATTATTCTGTCATTCCACTTTTTGTACTTTAGCCTATCATTTCATCATTCCTGTTTTCATCTTCCAGATATTGTGATGAATTTTGTAAATATATTTTTTATGGAATTTTGAATATTTTGTTTTACTACTACGATTCCCGGCAACAAAATGCCTTTTTGTGCGAACATATTTCGAAACAATACGGGCGTGACTATCAAATAATGGAAAACTTTGGTTTTTCGCGAGATTTCTCATAACCATCGGAAATTGGCGTCAAATAAGTGAACCGGTTGACTGCGTGCAATGTTCTATTTAGGCTCATAAATGTAAACATTTTTCAGTTAAGCATCGGTCGACGTCGAAATGGTGTAAGGTCTGCAACATATTAACATTTTTTTTTTCATGTAGATGATCCATTTATGCCATTTTGTATGACTACGAAGTTTCGCACCTTTCAGTGATTTTGCTTGTAGGTGCCGAATTTGAGGGGCATTGTTATTGCAAACCTTTCTTTTTTTATTGTTTGCCAATCGCACGCTCAATGTGTATTATGTGTGAGCCCGAAAGGAATGCGCGCTTCATTAAAAACTAAATCACGAAGGTTTATCCCCTACAATGTTTTGGTTAACGGATCCTTGAATTATACGTCATGTTTCATTTCGTAGGTGGTAGACGGTCTCTGAATAATATCGAATGTGAAGGTACCACCCGGCGGATGTCTAAGGCGGGATCAGAATGGGTGCATGCAAGCACACGTGTTCCCTCGCTAGATTCCCTCCACCTTTCCCCTGTATCCCCCTATATCCCCACGTATCTAAGAGTTGTTTAGGCCTTAGGCCTTCGTGGTGGTTTAAGTATAAAAAAATTATTTTTCGGGGTAAAAAATTACACATTCTGCACTTTTTCGAATATCAAATCGCTTATATTTCGAAAACTATTAACCTTGGAGGTTAGTTCATAAGAAGCTTCTGTACAGAATATACAAAAAAATCTAAAAAACTGTCAAGAATGAAAAAATAGATTTTTGTAAGCTGTTCGAAAATTTGTCCAAGCAATGTTGACGCTACTTTGGGCCTACAATCTAGATTCAGTAAAGGTATCCTTTTTGAATAAGTTTATACAAAAAATCAAATTAGTATCTGGACAAATTGACAATATGGGAAAGATACCATGTGCGCCACATTACCAAGAAAGTTGGAGCCACATTCAACCGATTTTTCAGAGGTACACAAACATGATGCTTTCGCTATTCTGACCACAGGCAGCGAGCCAGGGACAGCTGTGTTGTGCTTTTTGACCAACTCGTCAGTATTTTCTAGACTTGTCCTCTGGGACAACGAAGGAGATCATAGCAACTACCATCTATGTAGCCTATGAATTCTATCGAAATAAGACAGCGCAGAGGGCAGAATCGACCACAATATTTTGGAAATGTAGGTATCTCAGTGCGCCTTTGTTGAGTTCCAACCGATAGCAGCTATGCGCTGACTTGTTTCAGTGTTTCAGAATTGTAAACAGCAGAGAAAAATGGAAACAAATCACCACACAAAATAAAAAATTCATGGTGGCACGATACTATCAGGCGAGCCACCAGGGAGGAGAGATAGATTGATAGTAGATAGATCTTGTATGAGTATGATTCTACTTTAGTTTTACTCTATTAAGTAGTAGTAGTAGTAGTAGTAGTAGTGCACTTGTAAAGTACATTATTCAGCTTCAAATATGAAAAACACCATGCGTGGGAATTACAGTATGTTTCATGAATAACGATGTACCTCCTTCCAATATCTAGCAGCAGGTACCATTAGCGGTGCTGTTAGCATGAATGATTACCATGTCAACGTCCAGACGATAACGCGGCAATAAATTTGAGCAAAATCGCTCGTTGCGAAACCGTGACTCATATGAAAATACGATGAGGTTGAATACAGTTTGCCGCGGAATACAAGGAAACTTGATCTAGATCTGCAATTATCTTTTTTTGTTTAGCTTGTATGTGGAAAGTTTCATATTACAGGATCATGCTTTACGCAGTCAGAGGGGATCATTGCCGAAACACATCTTATCCTGTGGATTTCATGTTTATAGGACTCCATTGTCTGGCCGAATAAAAAAACACATATATGCTTAGATTTCAGTTTATTGTACGATGTTTTGACAACCACAGTGGGCCAGTGTAAAAAATCACCTATATAAGTAACGTCATCTCCTTTGTATGAAACTCTATAGGGCGAATACGATGTGTGTATGAGTTTTAATCACTTCCAAAAGATCTAAACAAGTAAATAACACTTATAAAAACTGTATTTTGTGATTTGAAGAGAATAGACCATAAATAGACTACAAATACAAGATTAAGTGGCAGGAGGAAAGGATTCATCGCTTTACTTTTCAGTAACCCTACCTCATCTACAGAAAACTATTTAACAGAAGTAATTTTAGATTCAATTGCCAAATTGTTATCTTTGTGATTGCCCGGCTCACAGCTACCCATTATATTGGATTGCATCGAATGATGTTCTTGTATCTAGGGCCATAACGTCAGTCGTTCCTAAAATTGTAGGACGTCTTTATGGCCTCCTTGATGTCCATAACACCATTCAAAAAGGAACGTGTGTGGCTGCTTTAGATTTCTTCATTGCTGTCAATTGTGATTGTTAGGGGTATGTTTGTTTTGAGGTTTAAGAATATTTTCTTGTAAATAATGTCGATCAGTCGGCAATAGTCCCTTACATTGAACAAATTCGCCCAGCTGTGGTATCTCCAAATCCCATATCTGGTATAAATGATCTAATATGAACAGTTTAATGCAAATGGATTTATATTTATAGCCCAACAGCTTACAACCAAGCTGTTCCTTGATGAAGGTAGGTAAGTTACAAAATGAGTTTAAACTTGCCCTGCCCTATCTGATATTTTTTTGTATTAGTGGAAACCTTAACCTAAAAATTTGAGACTATAACTCTAAAGATTATTGTTATAAGGTTGCAGCCCAGACCAAAGTGTAACATTTCTATTTTTTTTCGAATTGATGCATCTTTTGTGCCTTATTGAATATTGTAATCCACATTTCTATTTGACAATATCTCACAAAGCCGATGCCATGGGTCTTAGATTGAATACTTGAGACATCACAGCACAGTGGCAAATGATGACAATCGCAAAAATAAAATTACAGTGATGTAGCAAAAAGGCTATATGAAATACGTATTTAAACACTTATGGCTATATTGGACTAAAACGTAGGAACTCTCCAATACATTTAACACTATTTTTTCAGATCTACTTGCATTGCTCAAAGATACATCCGATCCTGACAAGCCCAGGGTACAAGATACTGTTTCAGGACAGAATAACTCCAGTGTAAGGAACGTTATTAGAGGAAAAAGAAGAGTCGATATATTTAAATTGGATATTTCGAAAAGTTTGGTACCTTCAGTTAATTTACGATAAATTTTAAAGGATGCTATAATGTACCCCCAAACCAGAAAGTGATATTGATTAGATATCCTTCTAGATATGTTTAAATAGCTTGTAATTTAGAAAATAGCATATAGTCTAGTTTCAACATCATGCTGGAGAAAAAACATTTGTTTTAAGAGAAAAGAAGGATTAAAGATTGATGAAATCTATATTTCTAGAAACTTTTGAATGTACTGTATTTCTGTGGGTATACAATTGAGAATAAAGAATATTTAATTTACCAAGGATTCTTTTATTTATATTCTGCAAATCAAGTCTTTATATCTAAAAGGTAAAACTAATATCAGGAAATATGAACAAATATAAAGCCAAAAAAATATATCCAAAATGAAAAACTACAATAGTGTAGTACAATAACCTTTAATAATTATAGGTTTACTTACATAAAATATATAGGATCTTTTCCAACTGACCGTCATTATTTAAGGGGGCGACTTTTAGTTCCATTTAAGAAGAAAACTTCATATAATCGTGTGTCCTAAACGTCTTGACTTTTGAGAAAGAGGTTGGTAAGGTTTTCAAGTCATAATTTTTTGTTAAGATCTGTAATTCCACTCTAAATACTTTACTAAAATTATATATATACAAAGAGAAAATGATCATAATTTTTTGTTATATATATATATATATATATATATATATATATATATATATATAACTTGAGACGTGGTCATTGTCGTCTAGACCAGTTAGGTGAAAAATTAAAGCTTCCGCCTTTTGTTGGGTACTTCGACAAAATTTAAGCAAAGAGGACTCTTTATACTTTTTTTAATTCTCTCTAGCTTTCAATGGACTTTGCCATCATCATCAGGAGCTGCAATTACAATGATAACAGTAGCAACAAAAGTCTAAAATGAATTTAAATTGAATCAACTTACAGTAGTATGTGAGGATGTTGCTAATTGTTGTTTCCGTATAGGATGGGGGAAACGTCCAGTAACATGGTGAGAGCTGGATACATGGTACAATGGTTAAAATTATATAAAATATGACAAGACAAGTTAAAGACAGATTAAAAATTATTTAGAAAACATTTGAGCATTACGTCGTGAAGCCACTTGATGATTGCACAAAATGGTGGTTATGGAATAATGAGTGAGATGAACCTTTGACAGAAGGCCGAAGGTTGTCAATGTCTGTGTTGAAAGATGGAACGAATTGTGCGCGTGTGCCAAAACGTTGCCAAATCACTTCAGATGATGCGATCTTCAGAATGTTATGTAAGAAATTGTTAAACCAACCAGAGGCAGTTGAATAAACTATATTTTAATTAATGGGAATTTTAAATTAACAATTATTAGTAAATCGTGAGAAGAGAATTATTAGATTTTGAGTGGAATGAAATTTGTTGGTGGAATCGGCCAAAACACAGATTATATTTATGGTTGTGAAAAGTCGAAATTTGGGGAGATATGTAAGTTCTCCAATTTTTCGCAGTTTAGCAAATATGAGTAAATGACACTCAGTTGTTTAATATCTGGACATTCTATGAATTACACAAGTATCACAAGTTCTTAATAAAGAAAAACACATTTCCAAACGTTTATTCCTGGAAATGTCCCACATTTTCATGAATAACAACTGTATCAAC